GCATAACCTCACGACATCCTTGTAGTCCTCCTGAGTTGCCTGCCCCTTCTTCCAAAGGTCATAAACTCTCCTTTTTTTCCCTGAGTTCCAGCCAAAGCTCTCTGTTCAGCCAGGCCGGTCATCTTCCCTGCTGGCTCGTCTTTCGGCACATGGGGATGGCCTGCTCCTGCGCCTTTAAGATTTCCTTCTTAAAGAATGTCCAGCCTTCCTGGACTCCTTTGCTCTTCAGGACTGCCTCCCAAGGGACTCTGTCAACCAGGCTCCTAAACAGGCCAAAGTCTGCCTTCCAGAAGTCCAAGGTGGCAGTTCTGCTGACCCCTCTCCTTACTTCTCTGAGAATCGAAAACTCTATCATTTTGTGATCGCTATGCCCAAGACAGCCTCCAACCGTCACATCACCCACAAGTCCGTCTCTGTTCACAAACAAGAGATCCAGCAGGGCGCCTTCCCTAGTTGGCTCACTCACTATAAGAGCAGAAACAGAAGAAAGTTCATTTCACCAGCACAGCAATTTACACCAGATCTTTTAGAGTCTGCTCTTAAATCTTCAGCCAGCTGCAATATTAGAGAGTCAGAGTTATGCTTCCAGGGATCAGCACTGACACCTGTGACAACACCCACAGATACCATGATTCGCTCCAGCTGAAGTGGGGGGAAAAGGCTGTGGAAGACAAGCATACCACTAACTTTCATGGATGGTTCTGGTCTATACACTTCACATTTTTATATTCCTTCAATAAAACACTAAGAAGAATAACAAGAATTGCAGAACAATGTATAATTTTGTTCTGCTTTTTAAATCTGACCTTTTCCCATTTGCGCTTCACTGAGATTTTTTTCACTTCCATTAAAGACTTTAAACAGTGCTGGTGCCACCTGTACATTATTGCAGCTATCACAGGTTTCACATCAGTGGTTATAATCATTAAAACACCTCCAGAAACTAGCCCTCAGACTGAATACTGAGGTAGTCTGTACTCATAAACAGTTTCACGCCTTGACATCAGTCAGGAGACTAAGGAAATTTGATAATCTCTCCTCCAGCTCCTCTCTCCATACGCCAGGATGTGTGCTTCCACACAGACCATTCAGCAGTCTCTCACCTAGATGTTTTTATAAAGCATGCTACGAAATGAGATTGCTAATAGAGTAGGAAAGAGAGCACAACCATTAACGGAAACCTTGTTTCAGGGCAATGAACCAAATGTATTTCTCAAGTCCAAATGCATTTTGGATGAAAATGGAAAAAGACTTTCTTAGAGGCATTTGTAGATTTAACAAAGAAAAACATGAGCAATACTACAGGGCAGAAAACTTGAGAATGGGAAAAAGAACACCCAAAAGGTAATGCAAAGAGGATGGCCACCCTGGGACAACGTGCATGCAGGCCAGTCTTCCCATCCCCAAGCTGAGCCCTCAAGTTCTTCCTAAAACCAGCAAAAATTCCAAAAGGTCATACAAGTAAATCTTGGTCTAGAAAGAAATTTGTGAGCAAGTCTCTTCTTTTCTAACACTTTAAGAATGGTATAGCTCATCATTAGTTAAAAAAAAGAAAAGCAGATGGAAGAAAATAAATTCAAAAGGAAGGATTATTAGTTCAGTAGTCTTCAGCCAACATATCTAACAAGTGTCAGTAATTCACTGACGTTCTCATTCCTCATTCACTAATGGACTCATTCATTAATGTCGTCATTTCTTCCTATGCTCTTCCCTCAACACAAACATTTTGGTAACTGTATACAGAATCACCTTTACACATACACCATTGAAGCTCACCAAATTGTATATTCAATGTCTGCATTAAAATGGTATTTAGAAAGCCTTTTCTATTTCAAATGAAGAGTAGAACAAAACCATAGAGATCAAAAACACAATCACTGTATTCTGTCAAACTGCAAGCAAAAGGATCTTTTAATGCATCTAAATAAACAGATTTAGTCCTTTATCCTCATATTACCTAATTTCTGCTCCTCTAAAGCCCTTCAGTCCCTTAAATGCAGCAGAGCCTCCAGAACTAAGCAATTGGGTACCTACAATCATCTCGGAGGCAAAATCAATTGACACTCCTGAAAGCTCGATCCAGCCTGTTAAGGCTACTAGTTGGATTCCGTTGGATTGTTTATTACAGGTAAGATACAAAAGAAATGTACAGAAAGTGCTCACTCACTAAAGTCAGTTTCCAATCAACATGTTTCTGGTCAAAGTTGAGTACGAGGAGCAAGCGAGAAGGAAAATGTTCAGTTAAGAGCATACGTCCATTGCAAGTTCAAGAGTTGTTGCAATTTCCAGATCAAGCAACTTTGATATAACCAATGCAGAGTAAAAGCAGGCAATTTAAGATATTTCATGCAGTGAGCCAGCTTTCAGAAATCTAATATAGTTCTTTCCCATACAGAGTACAAGACTTTGCATTTGAAGCCAGATGTCTAGCAGACCTGAAAAAATCCAGCATGAAATTTAATAAGTCTGCTGTAACATTTCTCCTTCTCAGACATACTGCTGCAATACTATTAAGATGGCATTAGCAGGGTTTACAAAGCTAACCTGACATAAGAGTCAGGTTAAATATTTGTTTTCTTTGGTTTATTTTTAATTTTATATCCAGCATTTCCAAGAACAAGCAGAGACGAGAAAAAGTGAAGTTCCTTATTGTTTTTTGTAGCACTCCAATACTTATCCATTCAGTCACTAAGAGCTACAATAATCGCCGTAATTTTCCTTCTTATATGTGATGACTCAGGAGTGAACATCTGTGATTTCTCCCCATGTGTTTGCTGGCCACTCTTTCCAGGTGACAGACCATCTGTACTCTTCCCTGCTCAGTCTTAGGTTGCAGTAAACTAGCTGAGGACAGACAAGTACACAATCCCCAATTAACAGCTCCAGCATCACAGCTGAGAATCCTTGGGTACCTCATCACTAGCGTAACCTCAGTTTCTGCCCAATGCATCATCAACAGTTTCACTTCACTTTGCTCCACTCAATCCGGCAGAACAGTACTTGGCCTGTACATAAAACAGCATTACTGCATTAGCAAAAGTTATCCAGCATGAGCCAGCAGGCTGCAAGAAACAATTACTCCTCACTATTCAACACACCATGCTGAATCTGGAAGACTGGGACCACCAACATGAGAGAGAGCTACAAACCAGGAATAGCAATGGATCACTAAGATGGTCGTGCAACTGGGGTGTATGACATAAAAGAAGAGGCTGAGAGAACTGGGTTTGTGCTGCCCAGAAAAGAGATGATCAAGAGGAGCTTTAATTGCATCTTTCACAACTGAAAAGGAGCTCACAGAGAAGATGGAGACGGACTCTTCTCAGATGTACACTGTGAAAGGACAAGAGTCAATAGTCACAAGTTGCAACAAGGAAAATTCAGATCAAAGATGAAGGAAAGCAATTCTTCACAGTAAGAGTGACTGAACATCTGAACAAGCTGCCTTGAGAAGTGGAAATGCCCATAGCTGGAGGTGTTCAAAAGTCAGCATCTCACAGAGCTTTGATCAAACACCCAGTCTTACTCAACCCATGGGTTCTAGATTTTACTTTTAATTTTTTCAGTTCAGATAGGTTAAAAGGCGTGAATTATACCAGAGTAGTTTATTTTTTGTTCCAAACAGAAGAATAAGTTACATCAATGTAGAAGTTCTCAGAACAGTTGCACAGCATTTCAGTGGGTGGGGGCCTCATTCCTATTTAAGGTATAGTGGCATATCAAAACATCAGTGTTTTACAAAAAGATGAAATCTACATTTGACAATGATTATTGCCTTCCACCTAATCTTCCACTTTAGCTAAATATATTTACAAATTAACATATCAAAAGATGGTACCTTGTATGTGTGTAACAAACTGCAATGATATTTTTCACTTAAATAATCATTTACATACAACTGTACTCGTCAATCCTATGTGACTGCTTGATTTGAAAACTGATACATCCTATATCACAATGCTAGCTCTTTGACTGACCTTTTCCAAAGAAGCCTAAAAGTCTGCTTTTGAGCTGCAAAAATTCAAGCTAGGGAATATTTTACTTTATCTGAACAATTAAACAAAAAACACAGCTCCAATAAGGTCAATACTTGTCAGATACTCTGTTAGGTTGTATTTTTCTTCCAATACACTAGTATTTACTGAAACACACATTACAAACACATCCTGACCTCCTATGTGTCAATGCACTAGTGGGAAAAATAAAAAAAAAAAAACCCACAGATTTACATCCACAAAAGCTTCCCCCAGCTGAATCCATAACCGCTGAGGTAAACTGAACTCAAAAAATCTACCTAAACAGAAAGCGCACAACGCCTTTAACAGTAACAGTGACTCAAGAGCTCCATTTCTAAATAATTATCTTTACTTGTCCATTCCTCCCACCCGGCCCCGTGCAGAGGGAGCCATTACACTAGCAAATTATTTAGGCTAAAAGTGAATTTAAAATAATAAAGCAACTACTAAATAATTGGCATTTGGGATCAAATACTTCAGTTTGTATTCTACCTAGAAATGCAGTACTGCATGCCATTAACTTTTCTCAAATTGAACATGTTTCTTTAACTGCAGAAAGGGATTAGCAATCCTATAAAACTAAGTTTTTCTTTTAGTGAAGGCTGTTTCTCCATTCTCCATAAGTGGACATATAGTCTGCCAGAGAATGCAGCTGCATTATAATGAAAAGATCATCAAAAGCTTCACGTAAAAATGCAAAATGCTATTTTCACTTGAGCTAAAGTAATCAATGCATTTTCAGAAAGCACAAAGCAGAGCTAAAACTTAAAATTAAACTAAAATTAAACTAAATCAGCATGAAGTGACTTTTTTCTTAAGGTCAAAATGTGACATCTTTTTACGAAAGAGGCAAAGGAAACAATCACATGGACAAAAAGTAAAAACCTCAAGTGTCTTGAATCTTCAGACATACACCAATTAAACCGTAGATTCATTAAGAAAACATTAACTTTTTGTTTTAATGTGTATTTCTTTACATACTATGAAGAGATCAGCTTCCAAGTTCTTCTATGTACCAAGTTCCAAATTAATTGTTCCTAACTTAAACCTCAAATGTCAGTGCACCTAGAAATCCCTATTCAGCTCCATTAGAAGCCAGCAGTAGCATTTATGTTGCAAGTTTTTGGGGTGGCAGGGAGGATCCTTCAAATTAGGATTTTCAAATAGCATAATGATTCCAGGCTGTAACGACAGAAATCGAAGGCCCTACAACATGCATCCCTTTCCAAAGAGTGTTTCAAGAGAAAAACATGCATAATTAAGCACAAGTTTCCAGAAGTTGGAATGTATAGTATAAGTTAATTCCTCCTACACATTTCTGTTAATTATTTTTTCAAGTCAGCACTGCAAGTAAAATAGTGAGTCACTGAAATTTCTCATCTCTCTCAAACGACACACCACCATAAAGAAGGTAGGTATAAGGCTGCAGTCCAGAAAGACTTAGCGATGTCTACAGGAAGAACATAATATTCAGAAAGTAGAGTAAAAGAGATTCATATTATTCTATAACCTAAACTTTTAACTATAAAGTTATGCTACAATGTCCTTCACTTCAATTCTGATTGGATTACTGCTGCTGAGATTAAGAATATTTGAAATACACCTCTATTTTGCACATATAGCATCATACTTACTGGAAATTTGCCTTTTGAAAAATCAGCATGTAATTATTCTAAATGCAAAAGGTAAAGCTACTTCCATAAACGTCATGACAATCATTCAAGCTTGTTGATACATCTTTATTGCTCATCCATTCTAAAGTTCAGTAAAGTCAAAAAACCTAAGCATACTGTGAATATTAAGCCTAAGTGAAAGCAGTATGGATATCATTTAGCAAGAGTTAATTATTGAAGTTCCATTTCAGTATACAGTTTTACCACTCTATATGTAAACTCTATTTTACCAACAAGAATTATAATAGGTGTCAACCAAATCACGACCACGCCAGTTTTGCTTTTAGCAAGGAAGACTCACAAACCTCCATCCATCCTTCGCGAGGTAGCTGAAGATTCCATCGACAACGCTTGCAAAAAACTGCCCTCCAGTGATGAACAGAGTGTTAATGGTGACTAATCTGCCTCTTAAGTGCGGTGGAGCAACTTCTGCGATGTACACTGGCACAGTCATAGATGCTACACCTACAAGAATAAATTAAATTACAGTTATAAAAATCAAAAGAGATACTAGAGATACTACATCCCTTTTTCATCATAAAATATTACACCATTTAAATGGAACAAGCTGGAAGAATTTGATTTCCAGGTTCTGAAAGATGAAAGAAAGATAATACACCTAATGAACTCTAGAAGAATACCCAGAGCAAATGGGTATGCACACTGGTTGCTAGCAACTGTATCGCAAGTTCAAGGTTTGATGTAATGATACAAGGAATAACTCACTTCAATTCACATTGCATGTATACCAAGATTAAATAAAAAGCATAACTATATTCATAGTTTTGAAACAAAGAGGTGCTACAATCCAGTATCCAAGCTTACAAAAGTCAAAGTGACTAAGTGAAGATGCCAAGTGTTCATAGCTCTGGGTTTAAAAAGAACTTCAGCATGGTTTCCACCTCCAAGAAAAAGCAAAGCCAAACATTATTATTCTCATTCTCATTATTATTATTGTGTAATTTCATTATTGTATAGAGAACAGATTGTTCCTTGACTTTCTTGATTGTTTCTTCACTTGGTTTAAAAGTATTCCATATGCAGTGCTAAAAACTCTACTGCCATAAGGGTAAGGGTAAGCTGCAAGAACTGCAGCTAAAGCACAGGTGCCTTTTATTCTGTCTTAACACTGGTAGTATTTCCTATAAATTTTCTGATGGCTCTAAATGAGCCATTTGTGCAAAAGATAGAAGTACCCACGTGGAACACACACAGGAGCACGCACACACACACAAACCATAAAAACAGGAGTTCATAAGCGTATAAGGAACAGGGCTGGGTACAGTACATGCTTTGGTGGTCCAGATCCACCAAGAAATTCATGCTCTCATTTAAAGGAAACGTGTATCCTCATTTCTTTAAGAGAGCCAACAGTGACAACCAACAGCAATTTTTTTTTGTACTTAAAACTGGAAGTACGTTGGCAGCACACACACAAAAACACATTTCGACTGAAGCCAGCTGAGATACAACTTGAGCACAGTGAGCACGGCCGAGCAGCAGCAGAGACATCACATCTTCCAGCCTGGGGCAGCTCCACCACATCCACACCGACAGCCCCACACCAGCACGTGCCAGTGCCGTACCCCCAGCAGGAAAGGGGGTCACCTAAAGGCATTCAGGCAGTTCCTGAAGCATGGCTACGGTTCCCGGCTCACGTCACGGCAGAAAGGCTTCGTCATAAAATGGTGGAGGCTTCGGCCGGCGCCCCGCTGCCTGTCTGACTCACCGAACTAAGAGCACAAAATCATCTTTAGCAACAAAGTTAGCCTGACAGAACTGCTGGGAGCCTCCAAAAGCTCGAGCAAGGAATATGGATTGTTTAATAATAAAATGGCATCAGAAGATCTTTTGTTACAATAGGTAAACGCTCACAGCAGCCTCTCAGCATGATAACCCAGTTCCTGGCAGAGCCTCCCAGGACACGCCAATGCCTCCCCCTCCTATTTACTGAGCAACCCACACAGAATAAAAAAAACACATAAAAGTGTCAGGGGGAAAAAAAAAAATTAAAAATTTATTCAACCGTTTTTCAAAGCCAACCAGAATGCACCACGGAAAAAAGCATTCAAATAGCCCTTTGCGTGTTTGATAGAGACGCAAATTTTCAAACGCAGTCTACCATTAGGGATATTTCTCTCACATCTTTCACATCAGCGTTTGAACTAATTGCAATTAAAGCCATGTAGATAGCGCACATATAAGGGAAAAGCCTTTATGGGAAAGCATAGGAGCACGTCTGCTTTCTGGAAACAAAAGCCACTGAGGACCCACGTGAGGCAGTGGCTCACGCCAGGGTGGAGAAGAAGGGCCCTACAGCTGCGGCAGCCCTGGTGTGGGGAGGCCAGGCCTTCCTGCTCCCCCGACCTCCCATCTGCCTCAGGCATGCCACCTCACATGCTCATGCTCGTTCCTGCAGCTGCAGCATGGCCATCTTCCCACTGCTGGGACTGGCCTGGCAGGACATCCAGCTCCGCAGGGCCAGGCCCAAAGCCCGGTGTCCCGGTCTCTGCCAGCAACGGGCAGCAGAGGCCTAGGAAAGGCTCAGCAGCAAAACAAGAATCGAGTAATTCCCCTGCTACACCCTAAACAAGCTTCCAATAATCACCAGGTTTGGGAATTCGTGACTCGGTGGACCAGACATTTGATATCTCTGGAGGGTTTTTTTGAGGCCATTCATTTTTTGCTCTCCACTACTCTATTAAGACCAATCATCACTAACAAGCCATAGTACCTCAAAGATGGAAAGAAAAAAAAAAGGGGGGGGGGGAAGTCTGCTTGCCAGTGGTTATTTTATCATGTGGTCCATAAACAACTTCCCCGCTGTTTGCAAGAGTAACATGGAAATGAGAGAAAATGATTGAATGCAGAGCAGCAGGAATGAAATGAAAGACCAAGCCCTTCAACAAGGAGCCAACAGGTATAGAAACAGAACGGGGTCTTGCAATAAACACAGGGAAGAAAAATATGGTTGTTTTTCCATCTTTCAAGGGACACATCTTTCTCTTGGAAGCTACTGAAAGTCAGTCATCCTCCCCCATGCCCTGCAAACACGGATACCATTAAAAGCTTTAGAAAAATAACATATACTCCCAAGAATGATATCTTTGAAATAGATAATCGTCTAGTGACGCTAATTTGAAAGGTAAAGATGGCAACATCTTTATGTGGATTTTAATGGAAAGCAGTTAGAAAGATGTGCACAACCAAAACCAATATATGCTCTGTAAAAAAGTTACTTCTTTTGCCCCATTCAACTCTTCATGAAGGCTGATTTTACATAGTATCTGCAGAGAAATCTTGTTCAAAACATGCCAGCCAAATCTATTTCTCAAGCATCCAAAAAGCAGAGCCATGCCATTGACGAGACCAACAGCTATCACCAACATTCAGCGCACACCATCAGTCCTGAGACACTGCTAGAACCACCATTAGCGCCGGCTAACGCAACACTTGCCATTTACAGGTGGAACTAAAGCCTGCTGCTGTAATCTGAGGGTAATATGAAGGTTAAAACATGTTGTAAAGTGTCTTGAAGAAGAGGCACCATGACAGCAGGAGATTTACTGTTTCTGCTGTGTTCTTGCCACAAAGTTAGTGACTACAGAAATTAGCAGAGGAAGGGGAAGCTTGCGCACCTCAACAGTCCCATCACAAGCTAGCCAAAGATTTTACTTCCTCTACTGGGTTTCCCAAAACCTATAGGTTCAAAACATCTAAACAAAAACCTCAGTTCAGAAGATAAATTTGTTACATATTTCCAGTTATCATTTAGATATCAAAACATATGCTTCGCTACTGAGCCTGAAACACAGTGAGGCAGGAGGTTTCAGGAAACAGGAGGCAATTAGGAAAGCCTCCCCAGTTTGTCTGGCTGCCATCCAGCAACAATTCACACACAAAAGCAAAGTTCTTTCTAAAAAAATCACCAGAAGTAAAAAAGGCTATTCTGAAACAGATCAAATTAAGGAAAAAATCATACCACTTTAAGGAAATAAAAGTTTTAGATTCTATAATGTTATTTAAATTACAGATTTGCTTTCAATTGCCTTAGAATGCATCAATGTTCTCCACATTTTCCTCCTCTAATTTCAATTTAAGACACACTAGAACACAGGAGAGCAAGTTCTTGTGAAAAGCCATAGTTGGAAGCAAGGTATTAAATGTTAATCAACTATAAAAATCTCTAAAATACATAACCAGTATTTGTTATGTAGTTATTTTAATAGATAGGTATTAAAGAAATTTGAAAACAAAGAACAGCTTTCCTAGCAAAATGAGTGCATATTCAGTCTTCTCTTAATCTTTCATATGAGAATGGTTTCATTTACACTTAGGTGACATATTCTAATACGCTCTCATTGTTAAACTGCTCACACCAAATAAAAGAGTCTTGCTGCAGGCAAGTATATTACTACCTAACTAATAAAGCTGATAAGTGACAAGATGTGAGGAAAAGAAAATGAAAACAATTAACTGGAAATCTGTCAGAGAAAGTTTAAGCTCTACATTGTGCATCGCAGCTATGAAATCTGAGAAGAGAGAGCAGGCAAGCCCAATCTTTATCCACTTGAGTACCCAAGGCATTAACCTTCTGCCCTCATTAAAGAATATAGTTCAGAAAAAAATATAATAGAAGATTCCTTAAATTTAGACCACAAGATACATCTAATTATTTATACGGGAAGCATTAGATGACATGATGGACTGAAATCATCATATTAAATGTTTTTTCACTTCTAAGATCACTTAGGAGCCTAATTACTAGAGCTGCTACTATAATCTGCAGACTGACCATTGGAAAGCAGAGACAAGACAGTGCACAGCTCAATTTTAAGACAATCAATAGAAAGCAGGTGTGAAAAGGCATCTTAGAATCAGATTACCACCCAGAAAGGTATTTTTCGGTATGAACACGTAAGCATTATAAAGAATTCATTAAGAAGTTCAGGAATGAAGTCAACAAACCTACTGACAGGACAGATGAAAAGGTCATGAAGGAGAACTCCTATGATAATTAGGAGAATTAAAAATATATTTTAAGAAATGAGATTAAGGTAGCAAAACAAAAGGACTAAAGAAGGAATCCAAGTTCTTATTTATAAAAAGCATTTGAGAATAAATACTAGGGAGATTGAATAATTTTAAAGACTTTTTTGCAAGATCAGATGGATATAAACGTACCCTGTAAAGACCAGGAATTCCACTACAGCTCCAGTCGTGTGTCTAGCAGACATGAGGGAAGGTGCATCATAAAAACAGATTAGCAACAAAAGCTGGAAACAGGATATTGAATGAGATGCACTTTTACTCCTAGCATAACAAAAAAGCTCTAGGGTAGTAGGGATCTAAGTGTCAGTCATTTCACTGGCATCAACCAATAACCAGCATCAGGAGCAGCAAAAACATTGGGAAAGATTCCTGATAATTTTTTGTTGTCGCTGTTTAGATTACTACCCAAAA